ATCCCACAGGTTGAAGGCCCAATCTCTTAAAACTGCCACCACTTCAGATGCCAATCACAAGTGCGGGCCACCATACTTCTGACAGCTAGGTATATGGGCAGGGATGTTCCCACAATGCCCTCATCAGATTTAAAAATTTGCTAGACTGGATCACAAAACTCAGGAAAATGCTTTACTTTCATTTAACCAGTTTATGAAGAAGACAACTCAAGAATTGCCAAATGAAAGAGCTACATAGGACAAGCTATGGAGAAAAGGGCAAGGAACTTCTGTGCCCTCTCTGAGGGTTCCACCCTTCCAGCACCTCCATGTGTTCAACCTGGAAGCTCTCCCAAAACCTTTGGTTGGGACTTTTTGCAACAGTTGGCACATCAATGAAATCATTGGTCATTGGTGACTGAACTTGTTCTCCAGCTGGCTCTGCTCTCTTCAGTCAGTGGAGCTGAACATTGTGGCACTCTGATCACATGATCTATTTCTCTGGCACAAGCCCCCATCCGGAAGCTACCTGTGGGCCCACCAAGTGTTCCTCATTAGCATAAACTCAGGCATGGAGAAAAGAGGCTTATAATGAATAACAAAAGACATTTCCCCATSACTCAGGAAATTACAAGGGTTTTAGGAACTCTCTGGCAGAAACTAGGTATGAAGAGCAAATACATATATTTTTATTATATCACACTATTRTACCCTCATACTTACCTAATAGGGTTGTTGGGATCATACGGTAAGGTAAGATTTGGGAAACAGGTGTACATCAGCGGCAACTCTTATTAATATTAATGTCTCACCAGTATCTCAAATATAATAAACCAGTTGACTATAAGTTTTCARTCATAAAACTATTTCTTAGTTACATCTTTATTTCTAGAAAAAGAGCTGGACATAGTAAATGTACAGAAACTACATACTGAAATGTCAGTMACAAACTTGGCAGCTACCCTTGACCCTCACACCAGGCCAGACAGGTTCACCTCTCTTCTCCACAGCTTTCTTCCAGTTCTTAGGACTTGGTGTGCACCCAACCATCTATGGTTCATTGGCTAGGGCCTTATAAGAAAAGAGAATAATAAGAGAAAAGCATACAAATTTATTCAACATAATATAGGAGCCTTCCTTTAAAAAATGAAGACCCTAAGAAGTAGTTAAACCTGAGTTCTTGTGTGTATGAGTGTGTGGGTGTAACTGGGGGCTGAACTAGTGGCACTCTGCCACTGARCTACATCCCTGGCCTTTTTTATTTTTTATTTTGTGACAGGATCTCACTAAGTTTCCTGGACTGGTATCAAACTTGCAATACTCCTGCCTCAGCCTCCCAATTGCTGGGATGACAGGTGTGCACCATTGTGCCCAGCCTGAGTATTCTTTATAGTAGGTTTCTTGAAAAACAGAAAGTAGTGGTGAAATATGATAAGGCAAAAAAAGAAGCAGCTAAGTATGGTAAGCTAGAGAAACARCCTGGCCTATGTGCTTAGATTCTTTTGATCTTTGGAGATAAACATGTCCYCTTACTCCAGGTATACAAAGGGCAGTAYGACTCTCATCATCTAATCATTTCCCTTCTGAACCTTCTTGCATTGTCTCACACGGGAGCTTTGGGGAACACCTCATATCTAACTATAACAGAAACCTTCTTACACATGTTGTTTTTGTTACTCAGCTTTCTATTACTGTGTGACAAAATATCTGGGACAATCAACTTATATAGTGGTCTATTTCGACTTACAGTTTGGGAGGTTTCAATCCACGGTTAGTTGACTCTGTTGTTTGGGGTCCTGTGGCAGAGCATCGTGGCCAGGATGTGAAAGGTAGAAAGAGGAAAAGGTGGGGCTCCACTGTCCTCTTCAAGGGCATGGTGCAGTGACCAGAAGACAAACCACTGGGCCCCWCATTTTAAAGTTGCCACCACCTCAYAATAGTGTCAAGTTGGGGACCATGCCTTTAATGATGGGCCTTTAGGAGACATTTCAGATCCAAGCTGTTTCTCAAATTCATTCAGCTTAAAACATTCCATATGCCAAGATGCTATGTTTGGGTATAATAGTCCTGAACCCAGCAGGAATTGTAATCATTGTTGATTCTTTTGTCTCTTGTGTATCCTGTCCTAGATCTCTTTCTAAATCCTATAACCTCTTAATTCTAAATGGATCTAGGGTCACTGTCTCCTCAATCTCTGTGATTCTCATCCTGGGCTGGTTCCACGCACTCCTGCTGCGCCCAGCCTCCTGAACAGCTTTGTGGCACTCTCAGTCATGCCTTGGTTTACTGATAGTTTCACGCTACTGGGTGTTTTCCAGAGACAAAGATCCGTTTCTGATCATCATGTCCACCTTCTGCACTAACTCTCTAGTGCCAGGTACATAGGTACATATGAGATGTTTGGAGCATGGAGATTGGAATGATGGGAAGGCTAGTAGCAGTGAGAGACAGAGACGGCCATGGACGGGTCACTGGGTCACTGGGTGGAGGGGAAAAGATGCTTGGGTGGCTGAGGAATGGGTCTACCCCAGAGTTCCTGGGAGTGTTTGGATCACTGAGACCAGCTCTTCTTCCCTTCTAGACTCTTTGTGAATCAGTGACAGAGCCACTTTGAATTCATCATTGTGATAAAGCCCAGGAGAATTCTGAATACCTCGTACTGGAAAACTTTCTAAGCTGAAGTTTTCTTGTAGTAAGAGGGGAGCTCTGGTAGGTTTACAACATGGCTTAATTGGGTCTATTGGGTAATGTCTAATTTCTGAATCACTCACCAAACTTTAAATTGCTTCTGGGATAGTTTCCAGCCCCAAAGCAACCTGGCCTTAAGTTCCTGAGAGAGTCTTTATGGGACCCTGTGGAGAGCAGCATGGGGCACAGAGAAAAGAGGATGCCAGGCCCAGCTTGCCCTGGGTACAGCCTCCTCCAGGCTGGGGCTCCTTGTTGAGCCTCCGGCTTGAGAGTCAGACTCGTCTTCTTGTTTTACTGAGTCCCAAGGTCAGGCAAGATTTCTGGGGCTGTGGCTGTACCTTGGACCTCTCTACACTCGGGGGTCATTCTGAGACATTGGGGAGTGAGACAACAGTTAAAGGGTAAATACTATGTCATCATTGTGCACCCTGTTATTCCCAGGGTAGATCTGATAGATGTGCTCTGTATGGCATCCTGGTTATGGATAGGTGACATCCAGATGGGCAGGTAACACTAGAGCCAGCTACTTGTCCTGACACCAGTAAACCAGCAACCTCTCAGCTCCATTAGCCTGCTTGCCTGCGAGCAATAGATGCAGCCTGGATTGGTCCCCAAACTGGGTGAGTGCTGGGTGGGTCGGGCAACAAGACCACTATTTCTAGCCATGGCCAACTTTTTACCATTTGGTGTGATGGGAAGAAGAGGTCTTGTGCTAAGGGTGCAGGGAGGGGGCTGGGAATAGGGATGGATCAGGCAACAAGACAACTATTTCCAGAACTTTGAAGGCTGTAACTGTTACAAAAGAACAGGTCTGTTTTGCACAAGGCCAGAAGGCACACTTAGGCCCAGTGGAGAAAGAGAGAAGTAGGAAAAAGGCAGATTTCAGATCTCTGAAGAACTCTGACAGCCCAGTTTCCTAATAATCTTTCCTGGAGCCTTCACTGTTCAAAACATTCAGCTGAGGCTGAGAATTCACCTAGGGAAAGGGGATCCCTGGTGCTGTGGGTAGGAACTGGTCTGGTTTAATATGTAAGAATTCTATCAAGTTCAGATTCTGCTTCATCTCTTAATCCCTGATAGCTTGAGATAAATTCTTCTGAATATTGTATCATTGCCAATTTCTCTGCCTTGAAACTGAGTGGGACTGAAATCGGTCAGTGATTTCTGGTGTACATCTGACGTACATAGGAACTTTTTATCTTAAAAAATAAATAAAACAAATAAACAAACAAAATTAAAACAGATTTCCAAGGCAATCTGCAAAGGAAGGACCCAGAAATCAGTATTTTCAGTCAGCATTGGGGGAGCTATTRGGGATACAGCTCCATGTCATTGTGCCCTAGGTCTGATGACACTTGTTTTCTGAATCTCTTTGGCAGCAGAATTTTGATAGTCTCCAGTGTAGATTTTGGTCCTGGGAGGTTGAGCAGATTTGCCTGTGAACATGTCTGCAAAACCTCCAAATGGCACTGGATGACATTTCTTTCCAAATTTGATGTGGTTGTGACTCAAGGCCCCATCTAACCCAAGCTGGGGTTGTGAATTTTGAGTGGGCTCCCACAATTAGGTAAGATTCTATTTCTCTGGCCAAGACTTGGAGTAGCAAAGATGCAGGCAGTCAGATGTGCTTATAGGAGGAATTCTTCTCTCCAGATTACATTTCTGGAGACTTTGGTGGGGACTCCATGTTATAGGTACCAGAAATTTAATTTGGTCAGAGTTTATAGAGAAGAGAGTCACAATCAGTTGAACTGATGTACATTAACTAAACTCACAAAGAAGTGCAGTATACGCCAGATATAAAACTGTTAAGGAGATAAGTAATTTTGTATTCTCAATCTAGTACATTCTCTCCATGTARGGTAGTGTGGGAAGCCAGATTATAACAGAAACTTGCTGAGTGAGAAGGAACCAGATCCAGAGGAATAGGCCCTGTGACCTCAATGGACAGGGGGCACTGAGCTGTGACAGCCCAAGGTCTCCAATTTTATAGCAGACACAAGAGTTACTCAGAAGTCCATGCTTCCCTACAAAGTGCTGGGGACAGCATAGTAGACATATGACATTTCATTAGCTATATTAATATCATCAATTACACAAAGTGTCCTTCATTTTATTAAATTTCATTAAATTTCCAAGGTCTACTCTTCCAAAGTCTACTACATAGCCTGGCTTGTAGATAACTTGTTTTTTTTTTAAAGTTGAATCTCAGATTTATCTATAATAATAAAGACGTTATGCTGTAATCCCCATGCATTGACTCAAGCAAGCCAAACAGAAAACATGTATTTTTCTGCCTTCCATATTCCTAGGGAGGAAAGAGAGAGTTTGAAATGGAAGCATCCAACCAGTCTACTGTGACAGAATTTATTTTGCTTGGCCTCTCTGCCCACCCAAAACTAGAGAAAACATTCTTTGTGCTCATCCTGTCGATGTACCTGGTGATCCTGCTGGGCAATGGCATCCTCATCCTGGTGACCATCCTTGACTCCCACCTGCGCACGCCCATGTACTTCTTCCTGGGGAACCTGTCCTTCCTGGACATCTGCTACACAACCTCCTCAGTCCCTCTGGTCCTAGATGGTTTCCTCACTCCCAGGAAAACCATTTCTTTCTCAGGCTGTGCTGTGCAGATGTTTCTCTCCTTTGCCATGGGAGCCACAGAATGTGTGCTCCTGGGCATGATGGCTTTTGATCGCTATGTGGCCATCTGCAACCCCCTTAGATACTCTGTGATCATGAGTAAGGCTGCCTATGTGCCCATGGCCATCAGCTCCTGGGTGGCTGGTGGAGCCAACTCTTTGGTGCAGATCTCTCTTGCAGTACAATTGCCCTTCTGTGGGGACAATGTCATCAACCACTTCATCTGTGAGATCTTGGCAGTCCTAAAGTTGGCCTGTGCCGACATCTCCATCAATGTGATCAGCATGGGGGTGGCCAATGTGATCTTCCTGGGGGTCCCAGTTCTGTTCATCTTTGTCTCCTACATCTTCATACTCACCACTATCTTAAAGATTCCCTCAGCCGAGGGAAGGAAAAAGGCCTTCTCTACCTGCTCTGCCCACCTTACTGTGGTGATCATCTTCTATGGGACCATTCTCTTCATGTATGGAAAGCCCAAGTCCAAGGACCCGCTGGGGGCTGACAAGCAGGACCTCACAGACAAACTCATCTCTCTTTTCTATGGACTTCTGACCCCCATGCTGAACCCCATTATCTACAGTCTGAGGAACAAGGATGTGAAGGCCGCTGTGAAGGATCTGGTGTCTCAGAAATGCCTCACCCAGTGATGGTGGAATATATTTCATGATCCTCGGAGTTGGATGGCTCTCACTTGAGAATCTCAATGCAAAGCAAATCTAAGTGAGGGGAGAGCTGCCTTTACAGCCACGCCATTCACAGTGTGGCCCATGGACCAGCAATGTCAGCATCATGTGGAAGCTTACTTGACATACAGAATTTTGGGGCCCATTGCAGACCTACTGAGTTGGAATCTTTGTTTTAACAAGATCCTTCAGGTGATTTGCATGCACATTAAACTTTAAGAAGTATTGGATGGTAAGAGTGTGCAGTGAATGCTGTGGCGTGCTGCCTAGATCCCCATCCCTACGTAGGGCTGAAGAACTTGTTACCCTAGCTGCTGGGCCTGTGGGTGGCTGACAGCATTCAGCTAAGTCTTCGGGGTTACTCTGGGCTAAAGAGAACTACCTCACCCGGTCATCCTGCCTCCCAGCTCAAGAGCTTCCCCATGGTGGCTTATGTCCTCCCTCTGCACAGCCCTGCTTCCTTTGCCCATCCCCGTAGATGTTGATCTGAAGAGTGCTTCCAGTAAACATTCTGCAGGAAAATTTCCCCATTAGAGTCAGCATCTGGGGAACTCAACCTCTGACAGGGAACAACATTCTCAGCACAGAAGTGTGAACAGCAGGTTTTCATTCATATCATTGCTGTGGGTCCTTCTCTGGCATGGCCTGTACCCTGATTCCCAAGGAAAGAAGCTCACTGAATTGCTTTTGTTCAAAGAAACAAATGTGCCCTAAAAAGTATTTGCTAAAGTAAATTCCTTTAATTTTCACTTCCATAAGTGGATCTTAATTCATACTTATAAGTGATTCAACTCCTACACAGAGAATAAGCAGGGAGAAAGGGTGCAGTAATCAGTTCTATGGCATCTTCTTTAAGGGCAAAGATGTTTGCGGTCTAGAAAACATGTTGGCACCGAATTACAAAAAAACAAAACCCTAAAAAAAAAAAAACAAACCCTTGTGGTTATCTATATGTCTACTAAGTGGCACATTATCTCAGCCTCATTAATAATGAATAAATGTTTATATTCATACATCATTATTTTGAAACAATCTGTAAATTAGGTTAATTTCACTTTGCAAGAATTCCTGTGTTTTCATAAAACTTGTTGGGAAAGCATTGAATTGTAAATTCAGTCACTTGTAAGCCAAACAATTTTAATAATATAAATAGATAAATACATTTAAAATTTACTATGAAATTGAAATGAGATAAAAGTTCATTTTGACATGATATGAATTAGGACCTTCAAAAGTAAAAGTCCCCAGGTTTGGGACAGTCTTAGGAGGGACTTGATAATTCCAAGTAATATTTGTCTGTGTCACCCATAAAAGTAATTTGCATATAGGTACTCAGTAAAGTACCTTTCCCCAATTATCTTTTAGCTTTCTCTTGCCCCCACTTGGTGCTCAGAGATGAGACGTTTTGTGTGGCTGATGGACTTCTGCAGCGGGTGTAAGTGAGGGCTGAAACTTTTTCCTAAGAGACCATGCAAATTTTAGCTCAAGGCCTGAGGTAGTCTATGGCCCCCAACTAGGTATCGTCAGGGATTGTTTCCAGTCTCCATGGAAAGGACAACACCTTCAGGAGAACCAGCTGAGTCCACACATTGTAGTGAGATCTCTGTGCATTTCCCCTGGTCTAACAAGGAAAAATGGTGTTGTAAGGATTACAAAGATGCACAAAGAACTTTGATACCATTGTCCATCTCCTTCTCACAAAGGAATAATTAGTACCCAGGACCTTTTTATTAGCAGAGTGTCCTACCTCCTTTTAACACCAGTCCTTATCAGTTGCTTTTGATAGACACCAGACTCCAATTCAAAGTTCACTACTTGCTTGCTGCCTCCCCTTCATCCACTTATAAGAGAAACTTCCCAACCCTTGAGCCTGCTCAGCAGGTACGCCATAATTCTATACTAACTGGGTCTCACCTCCTGGCCCCAGTTAAGGATTACTTGAAAGGTTCTCTGTTCTGTGTCATCAAAGATCTCTGACTAAGCAGGTCTTAGCAAAATACTACTTACCTGCCTAGAGCTGCTTCTGTCTAAGGCTTGATCTTTTTGCTCCCTGGCCAACTCCAGAGCTTTTTTTCTATACTTACGTCCTCTACTTCAATGTGTAACCTTTGTTCTATGCTATACCAAAGGGGAGGATAGTGTCCAATATTTCTGACAGAAATTGTTCCTTCCTTATTTGATCCAAGCTGCAAATGGACTCCCCATTGACCCAAAGTATGGATACCATCCCACTTTACTGTGATAACATTTGGTGTCCTCTCCGGCCATAATGGCCTTGAGACCGATCATKTTTAATCAATTTTATTTATTAATCATTTTTAGTTGTAAGCAGGAGAAACCCAAAGTTGAGCCATCTTAAACAAATGATTGAATTTTTTGGTTTATGTGAGCAAATAGTGGGCGGCAGCTGGCCTTGTACATGACAACCAGGGGCTTCAGGGCTGCCTAGACGTTCTCTAGAGCTCATAATTTTTTTTTCTTTTTTTAGAAGCAATGATTTAGTTTTATACTAAAAAAGAGACATTACAAGTGACAATCTTTTTACTTTGTTTTTATTTGTTTATTTTTTCGCAGTGCTAGAGAACCCAGGGCCTCCCATAAGAGTGTTAGATAAGCACTCTACCACTGAACTACAACCTCAGCTCCAAGCAATCTTTTAAAAATTTGTTTTAATTGACAAGTAAATATTTTGTGTGTGTGTGTGTTCTACAACTTGATGTTTTTATGTAAGTTCGCATTGTAGAATGACTAAACTTTCTGAACCTAGTTCCTCATATCTGTAGTGTAAATAAAAATACCTACTTCCTTGGCTTCTTGCCAGCATTAAATTAAAGTGAGAGAATGCATATCTGCACAATGCCCAACACATGGTAGATAAACAAAAAACAATATCCATCATTCTTACTGTTATTGTTGTTATTATTACTGATGGGTATATGACCTGTAAGGACACGTAATTCCTAATGTTTGCACAGTGGACATTCCTTGAGATTCCCTAGCTACTCATACCTTTTACTTTGACTCTCCCCCGGGGGAACATGATTTCTGTTTTAATTTTATGTTTCTCATAGCTTCTGGTTTATTTCTATTTCATTAGAGACCTAACTCCATCCATCCAGTTCTAAATATCCTGTCCTACCTGAGAGGCCCTTGTGAAGATGAGAGCTCAGAGACACAGGCTCCCTAAAAGACTAAGACCTGTTTTTAGAATTATGAAATATTTCCCCTCCCTGGACATCTTACCGCCACATCACTAAGGCCTATTTACTGCATGTAAGGCCTATTTTAATCATATATTATAAATACATGCTAAAGTCTTACAATACATGCTAAAAGGCAAAAAGTATAGTTTGAAGACAGACCAGGCCTCAGAACCAGACTTAGAGATGGCAGGGTTGTTGGAATTATCAGACAGCTATGATTGATATGTTAAGAGCTCTAAAGGAAAATGTTGACAACAAAAGGAAAAAAAGAAAAATCTAAGCAGAGAGATGGGAATCCTAAGGACAAAAAAAAAAAAAAAAAAAAGGAAAGGCTAAATATCCCAAACACTATAACTGAAGTGGATACTACCTCAATAGGGTCATCAGTAGATGGAACATGGCTAAGGAAAGCATCTCCCAACTTAAGAATATGTCAATAGAAAATTTCAAACCTAAAAAGCAAAGAAAGAAATGACTGAAACAAAACAAAGCAAAAATACAAATAYATCCAAGAACTATGAGACAACTACAAAAGGTGTAATTTATGCACAACAGGAATATCAGAAGGAGCAGAAAAAAAGAAAAGAAATATTTGAAGAATATGAAGGGGTTCTGGAATTAAAGTTTGAGAACCACTGCCTTGAACATTTTATTTTAAGCTTAAACATAACTGGACTTTATTGCCTATCTTTTATGCAGAGAGAGCTTTTTCTTGCTTATAAGTCCACTAGTTGGAGTCATAAGTAAACCATAACATGGCATGTTGTCTGCAGTTTTTAATTTTCTTAAAGTAGGAAGTTAAATCTTTTTCAGAAGGATCAGCATGCAGAATCTGCCTAGATTTTAATAGTTGTCTTCCTGACATTTGATATGACAGCACTTTATTTTAATAACTTCCCTTTAATAAATTTATACAAAGCATTCAACCTTAGTTCCCATGAAAATAACTCTTTTCACCCTCTTTTTAGCTCAGTTTGCAGAAATTAAATTAAACTAATGTAACTATAAGATTAACAATTGGCTAGAGCAGTCTGAGAACAAACAAGAGCACTTTTTAATACTAAGCAGATGTGTTGGGAAGCCTGCCACCTGATTTGGGTGTTGGATCATACGTTTTGCACAGGGAATGGGTAGTATTAGTTAATCTGGGAAGCCAGTTAAAGAGATACTAGTCAAAGCCAATTCTATTGTTCTCAAACATGGAGCCATTGGGAACAGTGGTGCATGCCTATAATCCCAGCAGCCCATGAGGCCGAGGCAGGAGGATCCTAAGCACAAAGCCAGCTTCAGCAAAAGCAAGGCAGTAAGCAACTCAGTGAGACCCTGTCTCCAAGTAAAATACAAACTAGGATTGGGGATGTGGTCGAGGACCCCTGAGTTCAATCCCTGGTTACCCCCCGACCACCCGCAAAATAAAAACGACATGGAGCCACTACTGATATCATTGTCCCACGTTAAAGTCAAACCCCTCCATGTCCACTAATCCACACTCTTCAATTACAGGAAAGACATGTTTATGTCATCCCCAGTAACCACCCCAGTGCGTAGCACAGAATAAAGGGATAGCTGGAGGATGTTTTGACGAAACATTCTTTTGGTCCCCAGTCTACTATGCTGCCTTAAATCCTACCCTCCAGTTTCCATCTTCTTTATTTTTATTTTTTTGGTTGTTTAGTTCTTTTGTGTTATTGGGGATCGAGCCCAGGAGTGCTCTACCTTTGGGCTACATCCCCAGCCCTTTAAAATTTTCTTTTGAGGCAG